TGCTTTTTATATTTTCCACTTTATTTCCACATTTTTACATAGGAAAGATTTTGCTAGATTGCATCCCAATTCGAAATGATAGCTGTATTCCATGAGCTATTACAGACCTAGGTATATCAAGCCTCGTCACTTCTGTACACTAAGGCCTTCTAATCTCCAACCCTGGAACTCAGGAAGACTGCCCCCTTGCCCCCCCCCCCCCCCCCCCCCCCCCCCCAAAGAACAGCGGCCTTTCCGGGGGGAGGCCGAGGGGTGAACCCCCCCCACGGCGTGGGCCCCGGTCAAAATTATATATGGGGCGGTGAAAGGGCGGGTTAGAGGGGAATTTTTTTTTGGCATCTAACCCCGAAGTCTCATTATAGGCATCTACTGTGTGCCAGTCTATGCTAGAAGCTTTGCATACATATCTCTGCTCTTCTTATAAAAATAGGTAGATATACCCATTTTATGGATAAAGAAACAGAAGCCCAGGAAGGCAGATGACTTGCCTCAGGCAAGTTCAAGATTTGGACAGGATTTGAACCCAGGTCTTTGGGGCCTCAGAACCTTTGGTTCTCCTACTTTGTTCTCTTACCTCCCTTTTTTATATTATAGGCTTCAAGTAAATGTCACTATATCTATATGTCAGCATTTGTCCAGTTTATAAAGAGTGTTTTCTTTGCTACTTCTTTGACCTTAATTAGAGAACTGTGGGGTAGAATGAGGTGTTGGACAGTGATTAAAATGAGTGCCTATCTTCCTTTAATCGAGGGACATGATGTGGAGAGAACACAGAGTCATAGGCATGACTTGTAGGTGACAGAACCAGTATTACACCCTTCCTTACTCTGCCACTTCTCATTGGGTGCTAGTTGAGTTTTCTCTCAGCCTTGTTAATAACACCCACCTTTACTGTGGTAAGGAACCGGTGAGGGGTGTGTGTGGAAGGTGTTTGTAAACACCGAGCTTCTCTTGCTAGCATGCTCTGCACTTCACATATTTGGAAGCATGGTCTGCTTCCTTTTCCTTAATTCATTTCCTTTTTGGGTGCCTCCTCAGAATCAGTGCTATAGTGGATACCTTGGGAAAGCAGAGATAAATGAATCAAGTTGCCTCGGCTTCTTACTTCATTGTTTCCATCTGTCCCCTTTATGGGGCTTGGATCTCTTTCATTGCCTTAGTTTTCACTCTTGCAGGCTCAGTACTTTTTTAAAAATTACCATTTGTTGGAGAAGTACACACAGGATGAAGGAAGTACAAGGACAAGGAATCACAAGCCGTGATCCTCATCTTGTACCCGAGGCAAGTCCATTGGCCTTATCACTGCGGGCTCAGGTGTGGTGATGTGTAGGGACTGTTACTGCACAAGGGAATCAAGGGAATCAGCTCTTTAGAATCAGAGTCACCTCCTCTTGTTGCCAGTCAGGGCTCTTCATCCACTAGACCAGGGATTTTTAATTGAATATTTTGTGACTATGTATCCTAGTTCTGACTTTTTTCTCTTGAGTAGGAACAGGCTGCCAACATATATAAAAGCCGTGTTTCTTCCCCCCTTTCCTTCCATAATCTTCCCACCAAAAACCTTGGGAGAGCTGAGGCACTACACAGATGAATAAAGCATGGTCCCTTCCTCAAAGGGCGACTGGGCCTGTTGGGTAAATGTGGGGAAAGAGTAAGAGCTGAGGTGAGGGCTAAGTAATTACTGAGGGCCCTGCATAGTGTACTAGCAAGTTGGGACTTTATCTAGAAGACTCTGAGGGTTTTCTAGAGAAGAGAGTGGATGTTGTCAGTAGGGAAAGGATGGACTGCACAGGGTAAAACATAGGGTCTCATTTTCTGGCCTGGCCTGCCCACTTTTGCCTATTGGCACATTTGGGAATACCTATATTTCATCATGCTCCTATTAGATTGCCCATTCCTGCCTGCACCTCAGTGTCTGCTGAGACTTGTGCATGGGTTGAGGAGAAATACATCCCGAATCAGGTTTTTGAACGGAGGAAAATGTTCATAGTGACCATTAGGTTGGTGTGGTTTTGTTTTGTTTCACCTTAACTCCTTTCTTTAAAGATTTTAAAGTTTGCTCCTTTGTAGAATTCAAAATAAAACCCTTCATTCCCTATCTGATAAAAGTGGAAAAGTGGTCATGCTGTTGAAAACCAAAATCTGATTAAAATTTTATGGGACATGAGAATACATTGTATCCATTATGTTCATATTTAAATAAATAAGCAAACACAAAACATTTGGTGTCATGCTGGCATGGTGTGAAAACCTGGAATGACAGTAAAGTAGTGCAGGGCCAGGCCAGATGCTGTAAGAGAAGTGAGGAGGTTGTCTTAATGGGCATCTGAAGCAGACACCGTTGAGCATGAAAGCCCATGTTGGTGTATGGGGAGTAGGGTTTGGGTCTGCAAAGCTGGCAGAGGCCACGCTGGCACATGTCACTTCTGGTGGTGGATTAATATACCAGGTAGATTCCTTCTCTAACTGTTGTGTGGAGAGATGGACAGGCTCTGATCATTTTGCACACAGGTATATATGCCTGTGTTAACTCTAAATGATATGATCCGGGACCCTTCCAGTGCACGTCGTGTCATGAGAAGAATGTAGGCTTTGGTTTGCATCCCAGCCCAACCACTTATAATCTTTGGGACCTTGGGCTAGTCACTTCTTCTGAACCTCAGTTTCCTTGTCTATAAAGTCAAGATGATATTTACAGGATTTTCTGTGCCTGGCAGAGTACGTATCCGATAAATATTTCTCTTTCTTGTAGACATTGGATTAATAAGAATATAGGTAATCCCCTTAGAAATTGAGAACAGGATGTTGGTTGAGGATAGCCGTTGTAAAAAAATGCAGACATATTAGTGTGTCCTGCATTTTTCTAAGTGCTCCCCCACCCTACTCCCAGCATTTGCTACCATGAACTGGTTTTAGCTGTCTGATGAACTGGCTGTGTACAGATGACCTTAGCTTCCCCGGGAAGGTGTGAGAAGTCTGGCATTTCAACAGCAGTGCTCATTTACACTACCTGGACCATTCAGGGGCAGCCGCGTACTACAGAAGACATTGACACTGAAATAACTAACCTGGTCTTTCATAACCTGGTCTTTCTATTTGGACAGTCTGTATTGGAAATGGCCCTTCATTGGACAGGGTAGACAACAGAAACCTAAACAATTTGGTTGAGATGTAATGAACACCTAGGAAACCACCGCTCAACTAAAGAACTAACATATTGCCAATAAATTACATCTACCTGTTGTTCCTACCCTACCCCACCCTCCTGATTCCCTGCCAGGGGCAACCACTCTTCCAAATGTTGTGCTGATCATTTTCTTGTTTTTCCTTTTGTTTTACTTCTTTTTATCTCTCTCCCCACCTGTATTCATCCACCCCTCTTTCTCCTCCCTGTTCCCTTTCGCTCTCTCCCTCCCACTACAAATCTACAACATGTTATCTTGTTTCCCGAGGTTGAACATTTCTTGATATAATTATTGTCATATGCTTCCTTTTCTGTGAAATGGCTATGCATGCTTTTCATGTCTTTTGCCCATTTTTCTGTTGGGCGCTTTCTTACTGATGTGTAGGTGTCTTTATGTATGCTGGTGCTCAACTCCATCAGTTGCATATGTTACAAATATCTTCTTCCATTTTGTAGATTGTCTTCACTCTCTTTAAAGTGTCTTCTAATGCACAAAAGTTTTCCTATTAATGTAGCCAAATTTATTATCTTTCTTATGCTTAACACCTTGTATCTCCATAAATTCTTTCCTACTTCAAGCTCAGAAAGATATTTACTTACATTTTCTTTTCAAGTTTGCTTTTAACATTTAAGTATTTCGTCCATCTGGAGTTGATTTTTTGGCATAGTGTGAGTAAGAATTCAATTTCATTTTTTTCCTATGGATAAACAATTTTTCCAATTTTCCTTTTCCACACTCTCTGTCATGCTGTCTCTGTCCAAAAGCAAACTTTGACAGATGCATAAGTCTGTTTCTAGGCTCCTCTATGCCATTGGTCACTTTGTTTGTCTTTGAACTACACTGCCTAATTACTGTAGCTTTACAAGAAGCTTATTTGGCTACCCAGGCAAGTCCCCCTTTCTTTTCTTCTTCAGAAATGTCTGGGTTATTGTTGGCCTGTTCTTCATTTAAATTTTGGAATCAATCATTCTAATTCCACAGAATAATTGAGGTATAACTTATATACAATAAAAGTACCCTCTTTGTTGAACAATTCTGCATTTCAACAAGTGTAATCACCACCACACTCAACATATTAGGGCAGTTCCATCACCCCGAAATTCCCTCATCTCCTTGGTAGTTGACCTCCTCCTGCTGTTGGCTACCACTGCCCTGTTTTCTGTTCAGATTTGTTTCTCATTTCATTTAATTTTTTTCCAATGTTCTTTTTTTTTTTTTTTTTTTTTTTTTTTACTGCAGTTACATTAAATCTATAGATCAACTTAGGAAGGAATCTACATCTGGTGTTAAGTCTTCTTGTCCTTAAACATAATGTATCTATCAACTTAGACTTAGCTTGACAGTAATGGAAAGTTCTTAATTTTTAGAAAGAAAAAATCTAAACATTTTAAATCTTTAAAACTTCTAAAAGAATCATTTTACAAAATAATTGTTCATCTAAATAAATACATAAATGCACACAAATATATGGCAGACCTGTGGCAATATTACATTAAAAAAAAAAAAAGACCCGTCTTGGTTCCAAACCAGCTTTATTGCTCTTCTACAAGATCTTAGGCAAGCTGCTTAGCTTCCCTGATGCTCTGTCTCAGTATCTGTGTGATGACTAGAACATCCCTTCCTTGTGGGGTTATTGTGAAGATTAAATGCTAAAATGTGTGCAGAGTGTCAAGAGACAGTGGACTTAGTACAATGAAGCTGTGAGTGGATGAGACTATTATGTGGGAGGAACTGCTCTCACTCACCTATAAGGAAACAGGGAGGACTCTCAGCGTTAGTTCCCCAGTGCGTTTAACCAAGTGGCACGACCAAAAGATGGCCTTGAATCATTTCTCTGACAAATTTGGAAAAGGTTAGTGTTGCCAAGCAGCTGACTACACGCTGCTTCTGACAGGCAAGCTGGAATCACTGGAGGACACAGCTGACAGCCAATTCATTTTGCTGATTCATCCATTAGAAGGGTGGCTTTGAGCCAGAACTTAGCTTCCAGATTAAAGGCCGAGAGCTGCAAAGCTGCTGGGACTTGAAGGAATGCTGGTAAATTATTGCCATGTGAAGGCCAGGAGTGAAAAGTGGATTGTTATTTGTTTTCCCTTTTAAGCAATCCTAATTCCAAATGTGCTCAAATAAATTCCCCTTCCGAGGTTAGAGGGTTGTTTGTAACATTTGTCCATGGCACTGAGAGTGAAATTATTGGAAACAATTGGACACTATTAAACAGGTCATTTTGGCTCCTATGTGATCCAGTCATCACCTTTGCTTTCATGGGGAATACTGACTCAGGCCTACTCTTTTACTTGGTGTAGTCCAAGTTAATTTCGAGAGAGGGATTATTGCAGATGTCATTCCTTTTGGGGACATTTGCAAAATGAATATGCTGGATATAGGAATGAAACTTAAAGAGGAAAATCCAGGAAGTGTTCATTTACCAACAGTCAGTACAGAATAATGATGGTAGACTCTATGGGTTCTCTATGTATCATTTTGGTAGGTTAACCTGTTTTAGTAGGTAGTCTCAGGTATATAGGGAAATCAACTCTACATAAAGCTTGCATGTGACAGGGTGAGTTTAAGGGGATGGAGATTGTGTCTTTTTTATCAAATACCTAGCATAGTCCCTGGACAGACAGTGAGCAATTACTGGATGGAAGCATAGATGGATGGTGTTTGTTTATATGGAAATGATTGGGTGGTTAGATAAATGAGGGGAAAAGTCAGAAATGTGGCCACTGAAAGTAGGAAAAAAGTAACTGTCACGAGGAATTAGGTTTTCAAGAAAGGATCCTATTTCTGTGGTTCTCTGATTGATATGAGTGACTTTGGTCAATAGCATGTCTCCAGAATTTGATGCCTGTTTATCTCCTTGTGACTGAGTCAGAGCACACTATTTTGAGCTCACATTTCAGTAACTACTCTACTTCTTTAGGAGACTGTATACTATGAAAGTTCCTTAATACCCTCATGGTTCCTTTTTCTTTTTATTTCTCTTTAACTCTAGAGTGAATGTTTGAAAATTACAGCAAACTTCTTAGTAAAATTTGTGTTTCTTACAGAATTGTTTTTTTTTCTTTTCTGTAGTTTTATTTTGCTCTTTAAGTAGCTAAACATTAAGGGCATGACATTCTGTAATCCACTATTGTGCTGAGAAGTTTTAGGCAAATCTGGCCCACTTGGAATGAAGATTAAGTGTCAAGTGTAGGATATGTGGAACATCCTCCTCTCACACAGTTGTCTTTCCCTCTGATTTCAGGTCCCTAATATAATTGAGTCCTTTGTCCAGTTCTGATGTTCTCAAATACTGCATGCTTATCACCAGTTGCTGCATTCTGCCTGCACTCATTCACGTAATATTTATTGAGAAGTACTCTGTACCAAGAACTTTGCTAGAACTGGGTATATGGATTCTCTGTCAAACAGTAGGTGCTTTTTCAGCTGCCCAGATACCAAGTCAGCAAGGCCAGGCACTTATTGTCTCACTGCCAGTGTGGGAAATAACTGTTGGCAGTGAGAGTGGGCTAGGAGAGTATATGCTCAAAATGCATGAACCAGAATCAGCAAGTGGGTGCCTATCCACCCATAGGCCTTCCATGGGTCCTCACTCCCACTCCACCAGCATTTTCCATCCCACCGGCCTCTGAGAAGGACACAGCAAAGGATTGCAACAAAGCTGACCTGGCCTTAGTTAAGCATTAACACCAAGGAGGGAATAAGCTCCATCCAGCTTTCAAGTATTCCTGCCAGCCAGAGGCACATTACAGAGAATTAGCAGTCTTTAAAAGCAGAAGGAGAAGAGGCATGTCTTAGGCATTGTGGGGATCTCTTGTATTTGCAGAGTCCGAAGTGAGGTGCAGAGCAGCAAAAAGGCCCCTGGCTTTAGGGTCAAAGTAACCTGGTTTTGCATCCCATCGCTGCCACTCACTCGTGGTGAGGTCTGCAGTAAATCACCTGACTTCTGTGCCCCTGCTTTCTCATCAGCAAAAGCAGTTCCTCCCTTGTAAGTGTATTGTGAAGATTAGACATCATGTATGCAAAACACCGGACACACACATATGGTTGAACTTCAATATTTGACAGTGAAGATTGCTTTTATTGCCATTTTTATTTTTAACAAAATAAATGAGGGTTTACAGTTTTCCCTTAGTAGTTTTGTTTTGTTGTTGTTTTCATTTTCTTACTCTGGAAATGAATAATTTTTAAGCAGCAATTTTACCTGCAAATATTTTGAAAATTAATCTTTTACTTACAGCATGACAGTTCTTTACGTTTACAGAGCACTTTCACACTGTGGGTGAGGCTGTGGAGTAATGACTCTCTTTTCTCCAGATGAGGAAACTCAGACTTGGCGAGCCCAAGGAATGTTCCCAAGGCCACCTGGCTTCTCAGTGTCAGAGCTGGTGTCTGAGCTCAGACCTGAATCCAGGGCTCCTTTGACTACCTCAGTGACACCTCGGGGCTAGGTCAGGCTCTTTCATAATGATTTTTTTCTTTTTCTTGTAGCTGTCAATACCAGCAAATACGCAGAAAGCTACCGTATTCAGACCTATGCTGAATATGTGGGGAAAAAACACGAGGAGAAGCAGATCAAGAGAAAGTGGCCAGAAGATAGTTGGAAGGAGATTGAGAGAAAGCGGTTAAATCAGTGTATATCCTGTGCTCTGCAGAATCACTATTACCGCACCAATAGGTAAGAATCATTGGCTATTGATTTAGAAGCACAGTTATTCTAGCAATATCTTTTTTCTTGCTTCCTACAGGACTGTAAGTAATAAATCTGACTTTTGAGAAAGGACTTTTTAAAAAAACTTTTCCCATAATATCAGAAGTTACTACTACCTTAATTCTTTCTGTGCTTTATCGACCACAGCTGGTTCACTCACAGAAAACCCTTTTGAGGCAGACAGGATACATCTTATTCCTATTTTAGAGATTGAGGAAATAGGCTCCTTGACTTGCCCACCAGTTTCAGTGAGAGAGCCAGGTACAGAGTTGAACTCTGTTGTGTCTGATCCCTTCCTCTTCTCAGTATGCCATGTTCCTCTGCCTGAGCTCCTGAATTCCCTTCAGATCCTACATAGGCATCTGCACCACATGCAGACTATAAAACGAGAACTTGACAAATACTTCCTTTAATGCTTTTCATAATCCTACTTTCAGAAGTTAAATACTGGTAATATTTTGGCATCTTTGTGAAACTACAAAACATAGGTATAGAAAAAGGGGGTGGGAGAAGTTCATGATAGAAAACTAGAGGCCTGGTGCACGAAATTCGTGCACTCGGGGAGGAGGGAAGTCCCTCAGCCCTGCCCTCTCCCTCTCACAGTCTGGGAGCCCAGCTGACAGCTTAGGCCCACTCCCCGTGGGGCAGTCAGACATCCTTAGCACTGCCATGGAGGTGGGAAAGGCTCCTGCTACCGCCACTGCACTCACCAGCCATGAGCCTGGCTCAGGGCTTCTGGCTGAGCTGCGCTCTCCCTGTTGGAGCACACTGACCACCAGGGGGCAGCTCCAGCATTGAGCATCTGCCCCTTGGTGGTCAGTGCATGTCATAACAACCGGTTGTTCCACTGTTTGGTCAATTTGCATATTAGCCTTTTATTATATAGGATTGTAAAATTCATAAAAGTGTGATTAGCAAAAGAAAAAATTAGCTAGAATCCCACTACCCAGAGGCAATCACAATTAATATTTTGTATTGCTCTCCATACTTTGTAAATGGCTTTTTAGAGAGGTATGATTAACATAAAATAAAATGTACAGATTTAAAATGTTTAGTGCATAGAGTTTTAACAGTTATATACATCCATGTAACCACCACCCTAAATAGGATATAGAACATTTTTATCTCCCCCCAAAGTTTCCTTGTACCCCCTTTTAAGCAGCCCTAAGCAACCACTTCTAATTTCCATCACTATAGATCAGTGATTTTCAACCTTTTTTTGTCTCATGGCACATATAAACTAATTACTAAAATTACGCAGCACACCAAAAAGTGTATTTTTTTTTTTTTGCTGATTTGACCAAAAAATAGGTATAATTTTTATTCATTCACACTGGACAGCTATTGTTGTATTGACTGTTGTCATTTTTTTATTTGACAATCTAAGGGAAAAGAGGTCAGTATTCCTGACTAAATAGTCTGGCATTGCATGTTTTAAAAATTCTTGTGGCACACTGGTTGAAAATTGTTGCTATAGATTAATTTTTATTATTCTTGGAATTTGTAAAAAAAAAATGGAATCATATGGTATTGTGTTTGGCTTCATTTGCTTAACATGTTTTTGAAATTCATCCCTGATAAAATGTGTATCAGTAGTTCATTATTTTTTATTGTTCAGTAGTATTCCACTGTATGAATACACATTTACCTGTTCTCCTGTTGGTAGAAAGTTGGGTTGTTTCCAGTTTGGGACTATTATAAATAAGGCTGCTGTGGTCATTTCAGTAAAAAAAAATTGTGGCATATGTTGTCACTTCTTTTGAGTAAATACCTAAGACTAGGATTGTTGGTACTTAGGTTAGATGTATGTTAAACTTTATAGGAACAACCAAACAATTCTCCAAACTGGATGTACCATTTTATACTCCCCACCAGTATTGTATGAAAGTTCCAGTTGCTCCATATCCTTGCCAACATTAGTGCTGTTAGTGTTTTTTCTTTTTTCTTTTTTTTTTTTTTTAAATACATTTTATTGATTCTTTTTAGAGAGGAAGGGAGAGAGATAGAAAGTTAGAAACATCGATGAGAGAGAAAACATCGACCAGCTGCCTCCTGCACACTCCCCACTGGGCATGTGCCCGCAACCAAGGTACATGCCTTTGACCCGGAATCGAACCCGGGACCTTTCAGTCCGCAGGCCAACGCTCTATCCACTGAGCCAAACCCGGTTACGGCAGTGTTTTTTCTTATTCTAGCCATTCTAGAGGATATAAGATGGTTTTCATTTACATTTCTCTGGTGACTAATGATGTTCATCACCTTTTTGTGTACTTGTTGGCCATTTAGATATCTTCTTTCTGAGGTGGATTTTTCAGTGTCCCGCCCATTTTCTAATTGGGTTGTTTGTCTTTTTACTGTTTTTTATTGTAAGAGTTCTTTTATGTAATCTGGATATACCTCCTTTGTCAGATATATGTATTGCAAATATATTTGTTTGAGTTTTGAGTTCATTTTATTAACAGTGTCTTTTGATGAGCAAATATTTATCATTTTGATGAAGTCTGGTTTAAAATATTTTTTATGATTAGTGGGTTTTATCCCTGTCCAAAATATCTCTGCATTCCCCAAGTTTGCAATGATTTTCTTATATGTTTTTTTTTCCTAGAAGGTTTATAGTTTTAATATTTAACTCATGATCCATGTCAAATTAATTTTGTGTATGCAGTGATATTGGAGTCAGTGTTAATTTTCTACATATGAGTATCCAGTTGTTTCAGCAACATTTGTTCAAAAGATTTTTCTTTTCTTATTAAGATGAACTTGGCACTTTTGTCTAAAATAAATTGACTAAGTATTTAGGTCTATTTTTGTACTCCTCTGTTTCATTCATTTTTATGTCTATTCTTATGCCAGTACCACACTTTCTTATTTCTGTGACTTTATAGTAAGACTTAAAACTAGGTAGCATAAACCCTCCAACATTGTTTTTCTTTTTCAAATTATTTTGTCTATTCTAGATCCTTTGTATTCCAAATAAATTTTAGAAGCATCTTGTCTGTTTCTTCATTAGGCCTGTTTTTAGGTTTTGCTGTAGAGGTCTTACGTTAATATTCTTCCTAAATATTTTATGTTATTGATGTTATTATAAATGAAAGTTTCTTAAAACAAGTCACTCATTTTCAAGTTTTTTGCTGCCTCTGTATAGAATATAATTAATTGTTGTATGTTACCCTTATACCCTGCAACCTTTTAAAATTTACTTCTTCTGATAGTTTTTTTTAATATTCTACAGGGTTTTATATACACAATCATGTTAATGTGCTAGTAACAAGCTTTATTTTTTCAATATTTGTGTCTCGCTTCTTTTTTCTGCTTTTTTCCTGACTAGCACCTCTGGTACATAGTTAAGTAGAAGTGGGAGAGTGGATATCCCTGCCTTATTTCTAGTATCAGGGGAAGTTCAGTGTTTCCCCATGAAGTATGATTTTTAGGTTGTCCATACAAGTCCTTTTTCAGACTGAGGAAGTTCCCTTCTATTTCTGGTTTGCTAAGAGTTTGTATTATGAATGGATGTCGAATATTTTCAGATGCTCTTTTTGTATCTTTTAAAATTATCATATAGTTTTTATACTTTATTTTGTCAGTATTTTGAATTACATTGATGTTTTTAAATTAATTTGCATTCCTGGGAGAAATCCACTTGGTCATGATGTATTATCCTTTTTACATGTTGTTGGATTTGATTTGCTCATATTTTATTAAGTACTAGAGGCCCGGTGCACAACATTCGTGTGCTGGGGTAGGCGGGGGGGGGGGGGGAGGGACCCTCAGCCCAGCCGTGCCCTTTAGCAGTCTAGGAGCCCTCAGGGGATGTCCACTGATGGCTTAGCTGCAGTCAGACATCCTTAGCGTTTCCATGGAGGTGGGAGAGGCTCCCACCACCGCCACTGCACTCGCCAGCCGCAAGCCCCACTTCTGGCTGAGCAGCGCTCTCCCTGTGGGAGTGCACTGACCACCAGGGGGCAGCTCCTGCATTGAGCATCTGCCCCCTGGTGGTCAGTGCATGTCATAGTAACCAGTTGTCCTGCTGTTTGATTTGCATATTATCCTTTTATTACATAGGATTTTTATCTTTCTTTATGAGAAATATTAGATTGTAATTTCCTTTTCTTTTATATTTTTGTCAAGTTTTTGTATCAGGAACTAACCTCATAAAACTAGTTACTAGTAAGTTCTTAAGTTTTTGGTTGAGTTTACTGGTGGAGATATCTGGACATAGAGTTTCTCTGTGGAATGGTTTTTTATTATGAATTCAATTTCTTTCATTGATATGGGCTATTTAGATTTTCTGTTTTTTTTTTGTTTGTTTCACTTTTAGGAATCTGTGTTTTTCAAGTAATATTCTATTTCGTTTAGGTTGGTAAATTCATTAGCATAAAATTATTAGCTTAGGATATTCCCTTATAATTTTAATATCTGTAGGATCTCTAATTATGTTCCTTTAAAAACTCCTGATATTGGTAATTTGTGTCTCTTTTCTTTTTTCCTAGCTAGGTGATTATTAATTCTTTCAAAGAACCAAAATTAACTTTATTGGGCTTTTTTCCTATTGTTTTTCTGTCTTATTTTTCATTTATTTATACTCTTGTTATTTCTTCGCTTATTTTGGATTTGTTATTCTTTGTCTAGTTTTTAAAAGTGGGAACTTAACTCATTGATTTTACTACATTTCTTCTTTTCTAATAAAAGCATTTAAAACTACACTAACCCTAGCCGGTTTTGCTCAGTGGATAGAGTGTCAGCCTCTGGACTGAAGGGTCTGGGGTTCAGTTCTGGTCAAGGGCATATACTCAGTTGCAGGCTCGATCCCAGCCCTGGTTGGGGCGCATGCAGGAGGCAACCAATTGATGGGTCTCTCTCACATCGGTGTTTCTCTCTGTCTCCCTCTCTCTTTCCCTCTCTCTATAAATCAATGAAAAAATATACTCGGGTGAGGATTAACAAAAAAATAAAAATAAAATAAAGCT